GCGTGTGTTTTATATATGGAATATATAGAAGACGGGAAGGCATTCTCTGGAACCAGTTGTTCATTTGCCCGACGTTCCGAATCTCAACAGATCTTACTTGTAATTAGTTTGTTATTCCTCTACCCCCCTATACGTATGTATGTAACATTCGCATCCGACGTTACATCCGGAGACCTATACAGGTTAATTATTCCTTTAGGTGTGTGCCAACCTCAACGACTTCGGCCGCTATAGTGGTGCTCGTGCCAGAGTTTGAGCGGCAACGCATGTAGCCAAGAGAAATGAGTAATATTCCACGATACTACCTACTTTCAAAAGGTCAACGTGGTTGGCAGCTGTGGTGACCTAAGTGACAGTGCCAATGGAAGTGAATATGCAAGATCCAGGAAGCAGTGTAGAAGAGGAAAATGCTACCACTGGAACAAGAGTTTTATTTTCCTGACGTTTCGGATTCTGTCGAAAATCCTTAATCATAAGTAATCGGATAAAAGTCTGAGACATGCGCAGATGAGGGTGTAAATGCACAGATTGCACGTTGCTCATAGTTCCTAGCGGTCACCTACATACGTATGATAATTATCAGTTCCTGTAACCACCGCTTGAGGTCTTTATTGGTGCGGTGATGGCTCATTAATTGCCACGATTTCCTTGTCCGCGTCGGATGCGAGTTTGATAATTACGCGAAAATTATGCCCGCTGTCGTCAGTGTGAGATGCGAGTCAGACGCAGCAACAAATCGAAGCTAACCACATAAAAGGTAGAAGCAGCTCACGAGAGTTGTGGGTTGGAATGTGCGGTCTCTGACACTGGGTAGACGTAACAACTTCCCGACAGTTCCCCCGTCGATTTCAACGATGGGCACCACATGCTCCAAAAAGCCGCAACAAACGCTGAAGCAAGCCGAAGCAGACACTTAGGCAAGCTGGGCAAGCTACACGGAGGCTACAACAAGCAAAAGCAACGCAGCAAACTACCGCGAACGAAACAAGAGTTAAAGCAGACTCACGGAGAATCTGCTCACTCGCTCGCCACTCCTACCCCCGCTTCCGGTGTTAAGACTAGGTCAATAAGACCAGGGATGAGGGAGGGTGTAGATGGCTGGCGCGATAGTCACTCAACACGCGCACACTTGAGTCAGCAACTCGTTAGATAGGGTCCCGAATTTGCGGGAGCGCCTTAAAGGCCACATTAAGAAGGAACCATTGCAGCCTGACTCTCAGTCCTCAATCTCCTCGCATACGCACACACAAACACACGAATATTAGAGAAGCAGCAACTTAGGTGGCCCGAGTGTTCCCATCCGTTGGCAAATCCTCCAAGCCACGGCTTTTAGCGCACCGTGATAGATTCTAGCGCATCTGATTTGTTATGGTGAGGAAACGCGTTGAGTGTCGTTCACTTTTCCCCCACCGTCTGGCGACCACCTTGCTACTCGGACACCTGAGGTGGGGCCTGAAACCTAGTGGGAACGCGAACGCATACACCGACAGAGAAACAGAACTAAGATAATGTGCCAGCGCCTACCAGGTCAGAGGGCCGTGGTTTGCCGAAGTCTGGCATTGTATATGCATACAAACGTTGGATCTCAGAAGGGTTAGGGTATCCCCGCATGAAGCCTGTGTCAACACCCTTCTGAGACGGGTAACCATTCAGTCATCGACTGATAGGCTCTACTCATGCTCCGTTGTCAGTTGACGTCCGTGGGCGGGGCTTTCATCGGACCAAGAACAACTTAGACGCAGTTAAAGCTGCTTCTTCTTTGAATCGCTCAACCCTTACGAGTGCGTTAGAGTCGGTACGAGGAAAAGAATTCAAAAATCCAGTTTAGCAATCGTATTTGGGTTGGACGAGTAGAAGAGTGCCTTCTTGATCAGTCTCTGTTTTGGCACCTCGGTCGAACTAACTTGACATCCTGCCCAACTTGGAAGCAGATGATGAGGTAAACTCCAATTTGATCCGCGTTTGATCGAGGGAAGACCGGAATTGTGAATGAGGTGATTATTTTAGGGCAGCAGTTAGTGAGGACATAACTGAGGGCTAACCTGACGAGCAGTTGAAGGAAGAGGAGGATGGGAAAACCAATCTTGACGAAGGGGATCTCCGTAAAGCCACAGCTACAGAGGATACCCAGCTGCAGTAGTTGCAGCGCAGTGAAGAGGTGTATTCGGCGTTGCGGTACTCGTCGAAGGTAGTGTGAAGGGGGGTAGGCGGCCTAAAAGCAAGCAAAATAAACAAAGGAAGGGGGCAATCAGAAACACGCTGATTCTCAACAAAGTTATGGGTATTAAGCTTCTCCGCACATGCCCCAGAGAGATAGGGAGTATTTATTGATGTTACCAACTACAAAACAGCATAGCTTACGCTTACGGCCGGTTTTAAAATGCTGAAACGATCAGGCGCCAGACCGACCGCCTGCCGGTATATCAGACCTTAAGAGGTATGCTGATTGAAGTAGCAAACCAATGGACAAAGCAGCCAGCAATGCAAATGCTGTACCCCATAAGGACATTGCCTTCCCAAACTAAAGTTAAGATGAGACTAGAATAGCGTAGACCTGGCTAAGAATACCCACTGCCAACAGATGTATTGCAGTGAAAATGTGTGTTTGCCGTTGAGGCCTTCGTCGAAGGTTTAAAAGCCAACAAAAAGCGCAATGCTTCGGAAACACACTTGTGTCCAGCAAATGTCTTCTAACTGACAACTGGGACCCTCAGATCGTAGGTACGTAAAAAAGAAGAATCTCACCGGTCCAAGATGTTTAAGTCTGACACACTGTCTGTCAAGGGGGCTGCCATGGCAAGAAACATAATAATTCTTTTGTGTGCCAAACTTTGAAGGAGTTTTAATAAAATTAATAAAGATTTATTCAACAGCAGGATATAAGTGCAGCCAGGCTGCGTCTTCTTGCACTGGGGCATAATAGCGAGTCAGATCAAGTCTAGCATCATACAGTGCAAAGTAAGTAGTCTTTAATGTGCCCCCTTTTAATTCAAATGACACTTTCCTGTTGGTCGTTTTTTGTTATAGTGAGGATTGATTTATTAAAATCTAGCCAACAGACTACACTAACTTCTACGAGGATATTGCTTAGACCTAAGTCTCACTTAACGATAAATGAGTTAACTGAAGCACATTTAGATTTTAGCCCCATAACCTTAGAAGTTGTAAATCGGGGCGCTTAAAGCCTGGCGGATATTTCCGAAGGCCTGAGTATGATATGTGCGCAGCGGTGAAAAGTATTGGCCAGAGAGGGGCTCGAACCCTCGACATTCGCGTTATTAGCACGACGCTCTAACCGACTGAGCTATCCGGCCTGCGAGCGCTGCTGCTAATGAAAGTAATGCAGCCAGGTTTATGCGCGCAGTCAGCCCCGCAGTGCGACCTGTGTGCATCGCTGGAGACTTAATCCTGCGTAAGTTGGTGATGGCCCAGGCGACTGCTTTGCAAGATCAGACTGCAAACACAATTTAACCCGTGATTCTAAATATAAAGGTAAGTAGACCATTAAAAACAAGTTAAGAGTTGGCAACAGCAAAGCTTTTCTGGCGTGCCTTATCGGACTCAAGCGTACGCTCGACGTCGGATGTTGGCTCAGCATCTTAAAACATACGAGGAACGCTAGGACACCTATAAATGAGTTAATACATCACGGATTCGTCATGCTTGTAGTTTCAGCAGCCACTCCAGTACACCCTTCGCCGGCGCACCAACCACCTTTCTAACCAGCAGGCGGACCCTCAAAGCATGGCGGCCCCCTTAGGCTTGTGTTGAGCTTAGTCACGATCGCGCCTACACCTGCGTCTATCCTACGCGCGTGACCTTGGCTTAACCAATCACGCATCGAACACGAAGACAGTCACGCTCGCGTGTTAGCAAAAACATAGACGAACGCGTAAACGACACAATGCTGCTCACACGCTACCGGACGGCCGTTTTTTCAACCACACAAGCAAACAGGCAGCTTAGGGTAACGAATACAAGGCTCATCATAGCTAATTGATTTCTGCTTTATTCATTACATCATCCCCGGAAGAGGAAGAAGAAGTAGAAAC